ATGGAATGGAAAGGAAAATAGGTTGCTATAAATTAAGAAGTTCGCCATGTGAATTATTTTTGGCGAAAACTAAAAAAAAAAAAAAAAAAAAAAAAAAAGTGCAAAGATAAATTTTTGAATTTCTCCGTAAATTTCGCACCAAATTTAATTCTAGGCATAATTTGAGTCGTAAATCGAAATAGAAAAAAAATTTGGCATGTCGTTTCAGAAAAAGCCCGATTTTGTGTCAGAATCTGTATGTTATAACAATGCTATATGTAAATCTAATACATATCCTAAGTCGCGCTTTCGAGACATGAAAAACGCAATTTGAATTTCGTCAATCGGCCCAGTAGAACGGGAGATATAGAACTGCCCCCCGCCTTTTTTGCGCAGTGTACAAAGGGTGTTTATATATTTTTAGAGGCCCATCAGCGGCCGAGCGGTAACGTCGCTGAACACTGGTAGTTCGGTCCGAGGTTCGAATCCCGCGAACGGGCTGGCTGCATCGGTGTTTTCGTGGTTTTCTTCATGTGCAACGTGTATACGAGCCAGTTTCCCTTAACAAGTCTTCCACGAAGGCAGGTGACAGGTGACGGAGGACGGGGACGCCTGGCGTATAACATAGGTAAACAGGCATATGTCCCACGTCCTCCACTATCTCGAAGAAGCAACTCGCTGGAGTTTACATGGCCATACAGGGGCTAGATGTCGAGTAGTTTTTACATAGGACGTTGTTAATAACACAAAGTAACTTAAAAAGAATATAAGTTGGTGTATTTAATTACGGCAAAGCACACTAGGGCTATCTGCCTAAAGGGAGGGATGCCTTCGTGGAGGACTTTCTAAGGGAAACTGGCTCGTATACACGTTACACATGGGGGAAAAAAACCACGAAAACACCCATGCAGCCAGCCCGTTCGCGGGATTCGAACCTCGGACCGAACTACCAGTGTTCAGCGACTTTACCGCTCGGCCGCTGGTGGGCTAAAAAGAATATAAAGGATAGCATTAAAACACTAAAACACTCATATAAGCTGAAACACATAGATATACAGAATTAAACGTAAAAGCATAAAAACACAGTCGTAATTACGTAACATAAAGACATAAAAACACACACGAGAATACATATCATGACACATAGACTACATATGGAAACACGTAGAGCACATAAATGCAAATATTACACACAGAAGAAACATATGAGACATAGTAAGGTGTGCGTAAAGCAGTAGCGCTGTGCGGAAATATGCTCAGTTCCCATAATACATAATGTACATACTTTCATTAGGGGCTTCTGTTGCATGAATTACATATTTCGTTGCATACATACATTCGTGCATTGTACGGATATTATATATTTCGATTTACGATAACACATCATTCCATTGGGTGCCCAGTGCTTTACACTGATAAACATGTCAGAAACATTATTTCTGCAAGTTGGTGGCTGTTGAAAGCAGATGTTAACACGAGGCTCGAAATTGAATGTGGAATGTGTATTACAGAATGTGTACATACTGCGAATATCTAATCGTTGAGTACATTGTCTGCAGTACCATGCTACTGTGGCTCGCAAATGTCTTGCCCTAGGGCATTGATTTGCTGTACAACTGCGCAGATACTCCTTATAGCTGGCGGGTTAGTAAAGTGTTCTATCATTCGTTGTATGTGGTTAGTGGTGGTTTGTTGTTAGACCGCAATCAAATAGGTAGTGCTCGGGAGAACCTAGCATGCCACAGACACAATTGTCAGATGCTGAGATGCCATGACGCATAAAATAAGATGGAAATGGGCCATGACTCGTTATGTACTGTGTCAGTGGGGCTATTGTTATAGGACGTTCCGTGTCTACCTTTGGTAGGAAGTTATACGTCCTTCTCCCTGTGTCGCCACTATTCCATTCTTGCCACTTTTCTTTACAGATATTACGCAGAGTTTTCTTGAGGTGTGAGACGGGGGTAGGGGCTCTTATAGTTAGAGCGTGGATGTTGTTGGCAGCCTCATTAGCCAGTCGGTCTGCGACGTCATTCCCTTCGTTGTCGGAGTGTCCTTTCACCCATACCATGTTAAAGTGGGCTTGATGATTATTGCGTAAAAGTTGCTGTATATCTATGATGATGGGTGAAGTGTGGTGATGATCCCTGAGTGCGTGTAGCACTGACATGCTGTCCGTGTAAAAAGTCGCATTGGTAAGGGAAAGGTTGAGGGCATGTCGTAACGCATTCAATATTGCTAGTGCCTCTGCTTGGAAGATACTATTGCTGTTAGTAAGATGTCCTTTACATTCCTTTACTAGTGTGCCGTGTTCGTAGTGAGCAAACGCGCAGCCCACTCCCTGATCATCTTTTGATCCATCAGTAAACAGTTGTGTAATCGCAGAGGAAGTGTGTTGTCTGGAGTGCGATTGCTGATGTTGGATTTTGACAACGATCCCTATACCTTTGATGGCAGGGTGGATGTGTTGCACACTGCCAGGGAGTTCATACTTTGTTGTTCTGAATGTAATTCTTGCATATGTGGCTTCTTGTCTGTGATGGGTGATTCGTACATAGGTAGCCTCTGCCTCTGCCTTTATGTGTAATGGCAGCAGGCCTGCAAGGATCGTGGCGGCGCTGGACGCTGTTGTGCGATAACCTCAGCAGATGTTTAATGCAAACGGCCGTTGAATTGTGGTCGGTAGCTTGGTCTTTCGGGTGCTCATTGGTTGTGCCCATATGACTGCGGCGTAGAGAATTATTCTCTCCTGCCACTGTCAGATATAATAGTTTCCTGATATGGGGGTTTTGTCCCCAATTTCTCCCTTGAAATTGCCTGGTTTTCCTTGCGATGGTCGATGTTTTTGTACGTATTTCTTGGAGGTGCGGTAACCAGGTGAGTCTTTGATCCCAAGTGACTCCTAGATATTTAATCGTCTTCGTTATTTTTAAGTTCTTGCCCAGCTTTATACATGGACGTCTTGTGGGATTTGTGCCAGGACGTGGAATTACGATGGCTGCAGACTTTTGTCGAGAGATGGTTAACTTAAGTTTATTGCATAGGTCCGTGAATATCGAGCAGGTTTCTGTGGCATTCCGTTCCAGTTCATCTCTTGTGCGGCCAGACACCAGAAGGGCTACATCGTCGGCGTATGCTATGATATCTGTGTGCAAAGGCCATTCATGTTGTAGTGTGGAGTTAAAGGTTATTATCCAGAGCAACGGACCGGCGCAAGAGCCTTGTGGACACCCTCTTTCCTGCCGCTTGATAGTGAGGCCATTGTTGTTGGCTACTATGAGGCTACGTGCATGTAGATAGTCCGTGATGATGTTAAAGATGTTTTGGGGACATTGTGCCTCTCTAAGTGCTTGCTTTATAGCAAGCCACCAGAGGGTGTCAAAGGCGCTTTGTAGGTCCAGGGATATGAATGCCGTGTGAAGATTTCTGCCTCTATTTTGTTCTATGCTATCTTTAAGATGACTCAGGGCATGCGTGGTTGACAAGCCAGTTCGGAACCCGTATTGCCGTGGGCTGAGGAAGTTGATCTGCTGGAGATGGAATTTAAGGCATCCCTCCCTTAAGGCAGATAGCCCTCGAGTGCTTTGCCGTAATCTAATAAACCAAACCCAATCATATTTTTAGAACGACTTCTGGGCCGTTTAATTAATGTTTAAAATGAAGAGGCTGTTTTCTTGACAGAATGCCTTTAAAAAACATTTCCAGGGATACTGATTTCCATTCCTTTCCGCTAATTTCGGAATTTTTCTTTACTGCTTTAGTTAGTTCTCTTTATTGCCTTAGTTACTCAGGATACCGTCAAGTTATATAGTCGACTGGAGATTCCAAAAGTTATTTCAGTGCATTTCTGGATACGTCTGAGAGCGTATTTGTTGCTACAGATGTATTTACCCATACGTGTTTGTTTTCAGCTAATAGAATGCTGAGATGATAAGCACTTGTTTCTGAACAGTTAAATATATAACGATCAGGGTCTCCAACCCCTACCCACATGCACTACGCAGTGTCCCGAAAGCCGAAACGAAATAAATAGCTTATGTATAGGCCATGCCGGTCAAGAATTGTGTCAGCTCAGAAGTACCCCTATGTAATTTATCTCCTATCCTGGGAAGATAATTATATACTCTCCTGCCAGTGTCTTTGTTATCTTAGGAAACGGTTTTTAACAGTGACAAATGCAATGCCGATTCCCTGCGGCAGATTTGTTGTCTAGCAGTCGGTTGCAGAGAACTGTTGTAGAATGGTGCCAGAATAGAGCATCTGCGAATTCCGTTTCTGTCTTATCAATGATCATCATCGTGTGATTTTTGTCTGGGAGTCTGTAGACGTTTTGACAAATGGAGGATTGTGTGCCTCTTGTAGTGCACCTCAGAGCCCATCACGTTGGACTCATAATTTGGAGCATTGTTATCGTCAACAGCTGCTCATCTCTAGCACGCATTACGGGTACCTTAACAGGCATCTCCAACAGGATCTACAAGGCATCTCCAACAGGAAAATTCTGGTCATATGCATCTCAGATTAGCGTCACTACTTTGTAGGGTGTAGGGATACTTCCTCGCTCATCCTGATCCACTGACCTCTTGCTAACCGCGAATCTGTGAGAAATGATTGGATTTTGATTGAATACCTTCCCATTCCCATTAAAGGAAGATGAAGTATTGACTTGGATAAGCACTATAATACACATTACCATATAGCATTATCCAAATACTCATCTAATCTGTGCCACGTCAAGTTCAGCAATTTATCGCTCAAAATAAAGGCCCGTGTTCATACTTGATTACTCTGCATTAGTATTAAGCCTTGTATGAGTGTGGAAATTAAATCATTTATTATGGTTGATATGCTTGCTTACCCTTGCTTGAAGGTTTTTTGAACGTCTCTTCGAATTGTAATATTTTCTCTTTCAGTAGTGTAAATTGCTAAATTTTGTAAACTGAATTTACTTTATCAGTAACCTTTATAAAATTATTTCCAAATAAAATTCCAGAAGAAAATATTCTTTTTTCCTTTTTTAGATGGTTCATGGAATGTAACTTCCCACTCTTCTCAAGTTCCCTTAGGATATATTGTGTCTAAATGGACATACAAAAACAAAGCAAAAGATGTAAAACTTCACGAATCATTCATCAACGTATATTCTTTTGTACCTGATACAATTAACCACAAGTTGTTTGAGGTAAGCTTGTACTTAATTTTCCTAAGTTCCAGAGAAAGCTTCTAATTAAAAATATTAGTAGCTCAAAGGGCGTTAGCCCAGAAGGGCTATTAATTTCGTTTTGGTATTTTGCGTTCATTCGCTATAAACGCCGAATCACATTTTAAATTGTTGCCACCAAATATTATAGCCCTGTATTATATTTAAACAAATCTAATAATGAAGAATCTGCATATATGTATGTATGTTTCTCGCATTGTCATAAAACAACGGTACCTAGAGCCATTTAGTTTTGAATAACGTACGTCTCCATCCGAATATGGGCATCTGGAAGCCCTAATTTGGAATCGCTGAAAGCGCTGGTTGCTGCTAAAATAAATTCGTGCTAATCTTCGTTAGTTTGCTTAGAATAAGCATGATAGTTTTATAACATGAGTAACTCCACAAAAGTAAGACTAGTTATGAAATTTTAAAAATATTATGTTTATCTTTCTTTATTACTCTTTAATTTTTATCAATATTATCATTTTATTTAAATGCATTGAAGGGTTCCTTACTCTTTTTCTACTAAATGAACATTGAGGAATCTAGTGAACTGTTAAGCAACTTATCTCTGAGTTCAAATAATTAAAGACGTAGACTCAAGAAGGTTTAACTACCCTTTATTTCACTCACAATAAAATGAACAGTTTGCCTCTTTCTCGGGCTTACAACAAAACCTCCACTCGGGCTTCAACTCAAAATAAGAAATAGAATAAGCATGATAGAAGAAATAGGAACTAAACTATAATTAACTGAGAAAAACGTAGCTGAAGCTAAACACAAGATCTAACGTAGTTGGCTCTTAATTTAAACCAGCCGGCGAAAATCAAAAGGCACGTAATATACAACCGAGCGTAACAACTTCAAGAGATATATAGCCCGAAAGCAAGCATGCGCTACTCAGGATTCGTAGCTCTCTCTCTCTCTCACACGAAGTAAGTTGAACCTACCTTAAATACTACTTCTAACTCATTGGCATTCAACGCGATTCTAAAAACTCATTCTGGTAGGAAGTTGTTAAGAATCGATAAGAAAGCACATTTAAATTAAAATAACTGTTATAAAATTAAAATACATCTTACAGCATTTTTGTTATTCTGTATTTTTTCAAAATATAAATTTATTGAACACGCTTTCATTTACTTATTTTAAAAGAAATATTGAATTATACCCATCTTTTCGGAATATTTCATAAGTGCTTTTTATTATTTCTATTCATACTTAAGTAAGAAAGTTTTGAAAAATTAACAGATATGTGGAAAGGGTGTAATATCTTCTGCAGAAATTTCAAACATAGAACTCGGTTAAATTTCTATCTTTATAAAAGCACAATTTAAAGTACCTTTTTGTTAATTCTTTGCATCATTTTATCATCAATTGGAGCTAATGCTGCCAAATAATGTAACCCTCAGTATAACTTAATTTTCCCTCGTACATTTAAAATACAGAAATCGCACTTTTTATCAATCATGATTAAAGCACAGGATTATTTTGTCGCAGCAATAAAAATTAGGATTAACTAATAATTTTTACAGTTCTTTATTTCAATAACGTTGTGAAAATGTGAGTTTTCTTCACTCGTGCGCAAAATTCAGATAATTTGCATATAATATCTATTTTTACGGAAAGTATTGAGCCAAAGGTATTAATTGTGCCGCGAAAGAGTTACGCAAATATTCAGAGTGGAATATGTAAGCGAACACGTGCGTGTCTGCTGAACTGTGATTGTCCATGGTGATTGTGGAGAGGATGTAAGCACACGAGGGGTTTTCGGCGATTTGTGCTGCTTCAAAGCAGCTAGTCAGGCTAGTTGAATTTATCGCGACAGTTCTGCAGCATAAGAAACGCACGGCACTCGTTATACTTACGCGACGAAAGCATTCTACTCGTCTGGCATAAGGAATTGATTAAGATGAACTTTAGTCTGGAAATTATTATTCTCCTCAATTCCTTCTTACTGGCCGAACTTTCAGCTTCAGTCAAGGAAATTCAGGCTTCAAAACCATTATTGCAGGAGTTCCCTAGGATTCCTGTTTTTCCCTCAATGTCTACTTTTTACGTAATCGATTTTTTTCAGGGATAAACTGGGTCATAACTCTATGTTAGCCGATTATATGGCGAAAGCAGTGAGCATTACAGTGAGTTTCGGAGATGGCATCCAACCCAATAATGCCATCTCCGAAGTCCTGAATTTTGTTTCAGATATTGAGGATTCGTGCAGGAAATGGAGACTCGATATAAATGCCTCAACGTTTGAGCTTTTACTATCAAGGAAGCCCAAGATTCTGAAAATAGCATTGTACAATCTTTACTCATTTGGGAAAACTGTAAACCGTGTAAAAAACATAACCTATCTGTAGGTTATCATTAACCAAGAGCTTACATAGCCTTGTCATATTTCGCACGTCATAGGAAAAGCCTCAAGTATCACCAGACAACTTTCTGTACTCATTGGAAATTACTTTGGACTGTCTGTCTATCGACAAAAAGGAGAGGGTTATACCAATGCATTGTAAGATCAATTCTATACTACGCATCTGAAGCCTGGGGGGAGGGGTCAAAGGCAAACTTCCAAAATTTCATGTAATACAGAATAACATTCTGAGAAGAATTGGAAATGCTTATTAGCTGATAAAAAAAATAAACTGATCCATGAAAATCGATCCTATAGTGCACCGCATTACTAAACCTAATAAACGTTTCTTCAGAACTAAGCTGTAATGCTGCAAATTTTTCAGAAGTTTTAGCTGCGATGCTGCAAATGTTTTAGAAGTTTTTAATTAATAAATAATTTTAGAAGATAATTTGACCAGACCATTTGTTACTAATATGCTTCGTAACACACACAAGAGACGCAATTTCGTAACCTATCACTAACTTTCGACGTGTACTTGAGTGGCATAACTTTAGTCTCTCCTTCGATTTCCAACTAATTGGCGCACATGCAGTACAGGAGTCAATGGTCCTCACTTTTACCGTAATTTCTTGACCGTTCTTGGAGTTTCAGCTGCTAGCTCGTCAAAATCATCTTTCCTCAGAGGCTTAATATTCTTATCTAGTTTATTAAGGCTCTTCCTGGGACCACATAAGCATCTTCATAATCAGTATCCGTATCCGCATCGGCGATTTGTGTGCTCGTATACATGGCAAATGTCCTTCATGACATTTGCCATGTATCTCGCAAGAGTTGGATAAATTTGATAAGGTATCAGGTAAAATGAGTAGCTACGAATAAGTCGACGACTGAATGAGATGGAGAGTTGTCGGTAGACTGGACGCAGGCGATTCACAAGCACAAGTGTCTACAGAGCTCGATGTAATGCCCACTGTGGTTTGCAATTTGTGAAAACAATTTCAGGACAATAGACCGATATCGAGAAGGCTTGGACAAAATTGACGTAGATCCACAATGACGAAAGAGAATGGTTATTTAGCACTTCCAGCATGGCAACACAGGACTGCTACTGCTTCACAGCTCTCATGTGAACTGTATGTTACCACTAGAAACCGAGTTTCACGGTCTACTGTTTCTAGAAGGCTTTATGAGATAGGGCAGTATGTCAGAAGACCCACTGTTTGCCTTCTGCTCATTGTAGCAGAAGAAAGATCGCGTTTATCATGGTGCAAACAACATGCGCTTTGGACCAGACAGCAATGTATCTTTATAAGTCGAGATTCAGCCAGAACACTGATTTAGGCGTATCTGTATCTGGAGAGAGCTTCGAACATGATACAGTTCTTTCAACATCAGGAAAATTATCATTACGTTTTAAGTGTAATGCTTTGAGCAGCAATTATAATGGGCGGCCGCACACTCCTGCATGTGTTTGATAAAGGTTCTCTGACTACTATGGAGCATAGTAAGGAAATCTTACAGCTCTATATTCGAAATTTCAGGGACGCGTTTATAAGGATTTTCATGGTCCTGGGTTTTATGTTAATAGGCGACAACACTCGTCCACATAGGGTTTAGCTGACCGACGTCTACCTGTATTCGCCGCATAGATTGGCCAAACAGATCTCCTGTCCTTAATTTTATAGATCATGTCTGAGATGCTCTTGGGATTGTAATTTCATCTCGTCATCCCCTTCCGAAGACCGTCCTAGAGCTGAAAACTGCCTTTGTTGCAGGAGTGGGATCGACTTCCACAAGGAATCCTCAACTGCCTCCTGTTCAATGCGCCGTCAATCTGCGCGACTGGTCTGGCTGTAATAGGCACCGTATCCCATATTATCTTCAGTTCGATATCATAGCGTGGATTTTGGACATCCCTGCACTATGAGCTCTGCTGATAATCATGCGTACATAAAATGACTTTCGACGGTGCATTTCTTTCTCTATTACAAATATATTATTCGTATCAAATTTCATGAAACTCTCAATTAGTTTTTCAGAAATTCGACATAAAGTGCAAATTCTCATAATTTCACACCCTAGTTATCTGCCTGTAAATTTACCTTCGAATAAAAAACTGTAAAATGTATTTAAAAGTTGAAAAAAACGAACGATTTTGCACTGAGGTACTTTTGTAAGGATCTTAAGTTTTACTAACGTTTATTTTATTTTAAATCTTTACTATCACTTCTTATTTTCTACTTCCGCCCAGAATTATAAGCGTGAAGGAGTTTATGCAAAGTTGTCTGGCGAACGCCAAGTATTTAAGTGTGGCCTTTTTGCCAAGCAGAAGAGAGGAAGCCGTGAGTTCGAAGCAGGCCGCTTACCTTAGAAGTTACGCAGTTGCTACTTTGCCTTCCAGGCCAGAGGTTTTAATCCTCTTGATAAATTAAACGTATTGTAGTGTTCACAGTCTCTGTGCTACATACGCTTTCTGTTATTATAAGGCCAATCTTATTCTAAAGTTAAATTAGAGTTTAGTTTTATTTTGATATCTTTTAAGTTAGACCCCGAGTGGAGGGTCATTGTATTCCGAAGTACGGAAGTCATTGTATATAAAGAAAAAATAAAGGGTTTTGTATAC